TATGGGAAACAGATTTCTTAGGGTGCATTTGGTACATTATTTCTACCCATATTCTCAATCCTATTCCTAAAATATTGTTTGGTACATTATTTGAGAAATATTAGTATATATTTTTTAATATTTTAGACCCCTTAAGTTTATTAATTTCATAAATACCCCCAGAAAAAAGTTTAAAAATTAACAAAAACACCCCCACACACCCATACTTGCCAGATTTCGGCAACCACCATCAGTGGTAGCCAGAACCTGTCACAACGATGAATTAAAGACTAGAACTGGCCGGTAATTCACCGATCTGACCTTTTCTAGCAAAATCCATAGTGGATCTGGTCGGAAAAGGACAGATCTGGCCGTCAGCGATGGCCAAAGAAATGGTCATCATTGACCGACAACAACGGCCATATCTTTGGCGGTCGCTGACGGCTAGATCTAGACTTTTGCCGTCGTCAACGGCCAGATCTGGCCATAGATTTGGTTTTTTCGGCCAGATCAATGCCCTACCCGCCAGATCCGACCGGTTTGCATCGTAACGCCATTTTCTGGTCAGATTCCGGTAGTGGTTGCCGAAATCTGGCACTATAGTGGGTGGGGGTGTTTTTGTCATTTTACATAATTTTTATATATTGGGGTGTTTAGTTAAATTAGCAAACCTAGGGGGTTTTTTCATAAATTTTTAAATTTTGCCTCATAATACTCCCCTATTCAACTACCCAATATTATTCTTAAAATCCTATCCAAAATAATAAAACAAACAGACTTTTTTATTTACCACGGAGAAATGAAAACATACTTTAACTTTACCAAAGGCTACCATGGAATCAACCACAAATAGATTATTGTGCTTTTCAAATAAAAGTAATATATAAAAAGAAAAAAAAATTACTTTTGAATAATTTAATTTGTTTCCAAATTGGTTGGGTTCACCATTTCATGAAACCATTGCTTTTGAAGGGTCTCGAATCTTCAGAGAAAACTATACCATANAGGGTTATCTTTTTTTGTTACAATTTTATCCCTTATTAATAAAAATTTTGGACAATAATATCCCTATTTTAAAACAAATTTACATTAATATCCTATTTCAATTTTACCCTTGTTTAATTAAAATTTTGTACAATAATGCCCTTATATTTAAAATAATTTACAGACCACCACTGCCACCACCACCACAGCCACCCAGCCACCACCGTCGACAGCAGGTCAACCACCACGGACCACCGCCGGAAAATTGCCGGAGTCCCCAAAAACACTGGAAATTCTGTGAGAGGCTCCGGGAGGCTTCGATATGGCCGTTTTTGGCCATATTGATGGCCGAAAACGGCCATATCGGGCCAGCTCTGGCCGTTAACGGCCAGATCCCTCGATCTGGCTGGAAATGGTCAGAATAGATCTGGCCATTTCTGGCTAGATCTGGCCCGATATGGCCGTTTTCGGCCATCAATATGGCCAAAAACGGCCATATCGAAGCCTCCCGGAGCCTCTCATAGAATTTCCAGTGTTTTTAGGGGCTCCGGCGATTTTCCAACGGTTGTTCGCGGTGGCGGCAGGCGGCGGCAGGAGGTGGGGGTGATTTCGTCATGAATTAAAGTTTTTTTATAAGCGGGGGTGTTTTAGCTAAATCTGAAATATTGGGGGTTAAAAAAATTATTCAAAAATTAATAATAAAAATATGTTATCCATGTCAAATTCATCTCTATAATGACCAAAAAATTTACCCAATTCCAAGATTTTTTTTGTAAAAATATATTATAGGGAGATGGGAGTCATCCCAATGGATATTTACTAATAAAAGATCTTGTAATAAGCAACATTTTTATTTTTTCAATCCCTCATTTCTAGTTTTTTATAAGTATAAACTGAGAATCTTGATCCAGATACCAAATACTACTACTATATATATTTTCTATACATTTTGTTGTTCAAAGTAATTAAGAAATTGCATAATTGCACCTCTCTCCTCTTTTTTGGTGATCAGGATGTCTGTGTTAGCTTGCACACGTACACCGCAACTAATCTATAGGCCCTGAAGTTAATGACTAGATAATCTCTCAGTGATCACCTCTATAAGGCTTGTGGGGACTCAAACTCAGATGTCATAAAACATATTTTTACTCTTTTACCATCAAAGTCATTTAGTATGATACCCTCTCTCTCTCTCTCTCTCTCACACACACACACAAACATGCACAAAGTCGGAGTGGACTTAATCTTCGTAATGATAATGGAGTGAAAGAGCAATGAAATGTGTATATTAAAGAAACTGAGATTGAGAAAGACAAAGACAGATGGATGATGATGAATCATGTTTCATTTAACTAAATGTTTCTTTAAATTTACGAGTTTCAAATAATACAAGTAGTACTCTTAAGTCTTCCTGCAATGTCCCACCCACACCCTCTACTCTAAAGTAGCTACCTAAATCTTTTGAGTAATACTAGCCTTTTCCCCTTTCTTATTTCTTTCTCTTACTCACTATGTGGTAGGTGCGTGTAAGAAGAGAGAGAAGGGAGTAGAGAGAGATTAATATGAGTGAGAAAGAGAAAGAGTAAGAAGGGAAAGTATGACTAGCATTATTCAAATCTTTTTCTCCTCTCACAATTTCAACCAAACTTCTTTTCTTTTTCTCTTGAGCTTTGGATTCTCTCTAAGTCAACCTCTTTGCTTCTACTTAAATAGCAAACACAAATCTTACACTTCTCTTACAACATACAGACAAAAGAGAGTACCAAACCAAACCCTTACATAATTAAACTGCTCCTTCTCTCTCTTTCTCTTTAATTTGGTCAATGGAGAGTGAGGATGTTGCCTCAATTCCTTCAACACCAGCTACACCTGGCACTCTCTGGTGCTCCTCTCTTTGGTGGGCTCAAAGAGAGAGAGGTGCCTTGGAATTGGAAGGAAATCACTTCTTAGAAGTCCATGCAAGTGTTTTAGTGTTGAAGAATGGACCATGGAAGAAGGAGACTCCCTCCTCTCTTGCTCAATCTCGTTACCTGCTCCCCCTCCTGTCTCTCTTGCAAGAAAGGTATAATATAAAGCATCGAATTGAGTCTTAAATGAAACAGATATATCGAAGATTTTATCTCATTATTATGATATCAGTCTTTTAGCTCAACATTTGGGTGTATTAATTTCAGGTAGAGCAGAATTCATAGGCACTTTATACTCATGTTTGCTGGGACGCCACAGCCATTGTGAACCAAAAAACACAAGGGTGGAAACCCTACTCGGCTGCGCCGGCTCCACCGGTCTCGCCGTCATGGTCATCTATTTCCATCGGCCACATTTCCGGACCCATCTCAACCCGGGTGTCACCGTCGCCTTCGCTGCCTTAAAACACTTCCCATGGAAAAACGTAAGCACATATATAAATTATATTACTTCAGTTTCATATATAAAATGTCCGAAGACCTAAATAGTTTTAATTCGTTGTCAATGATTGCAGGTACCGTGTATATCGGAGCACAAGTAGCGGCATCAGTATGTGCATCATTTGCACTGAAAGGGATATTTCATCCCTTCATGGGAGGGGGAGTGACAGTGCCTGCAGAAGGATTTGCTTACGGGAAAGCTTTTGCTTTGGAGTTTATTATCAGCTTCAATCTCATGTTTGTCGTCACCGCTGTGGCCACCGACACTCGAGCTGTAAGTGCATGCAGTCTTTACATTTATTAATATTCTAACCCTCTTCTTTCTTTCATTCTTTCTTTATGGCTTTCAAAATCACTTCCCAATCTAGACAATCCTTCCCTGGATAATGCAAGAGACACGAGTCTCTCTCTCTATATAATATTTTTTATATGCAAAACTTAAGAGACAAGATCCAAGAAAGAAAATTGGCATCCCTGCAAGTTTCCGTTTCCAATGATATTAATATATGTGGTACATATTTATTGATCCCAGTGACATTAATTTATCTGAGATGCAACTTGTCAACATCCCCCTAGAACCAAATTTTTTACTGAATTTTGCCTCACCAAACTTTCAAAACTACCTTTTTTACTCTCTCAATAGCCCTCTGACCCTCAAATTAATTGAAATGTTTGACCCTCAAGTTTTTATGACTGGGTTTAGCTAGTAAAATCTCTTATAATTTAGTTGTTAATTAGATGAGAAAATGAAATTAAGAATAATGCGAACAGAATCTTCTAATGTGAAGATGTCTCTGAAACTGTGAGATGCAGGTTGGAGCTGGCAGGAATCGCTGTGGGAGCTACTGTGACTGTAACTACTCTAGCCGGTATGTCAATTCACACTTCATTTTAAGAGACTTTTGTTATTGAATTTTACTACTTCTATCAAAACCTTTTCAAACAATGAAAAACGTTTTTCTTGATAAAAATTGTTTTTAATAAACTATTAAGCGTGTTTTCTGTGGAAAGTCATTTAAGTACTTTTTTACGTCAAAAAGGCTTCTGACACGCCATGTACTAAAGACTTCTTTCGGGACCATTATTTAGATCCAATAAAATGAAATGGTGAAAATTAATGCAATAGTTTATCCAAACTCACGCGGCAAACATACTGTAATGATGGGATGTTTGATCCTTACAAAAGCTAGAACAGACACAAAGTTTGACAAAATAATAGGCAAAAATCTCTGAGAATATAAACACACTTCCAATGCAAAAGGACCAGATATGGGATATATGTAGAGATGAATGACAATCCTTCAATAATCATCTGATTTCTGTATACATCAAAATCAATTATTCAACAAGTCGAGTGAAAATTATTACTATGATCTTAGATCTTTTGAAAACCTCTTTTCTTCTGTTACTTCGCGACCTTCGACGGGCGGTTCAATGAATCCGGTAAGAACACTGGGTCCAGCCATTGCGCAAACAATTACAAGGCCATATGGTCTACTTATGCTCCCATCCTTGGAGCGCGTTGTGGTGCAGGAACTATTCTGCAGTGAAACTGCCAGAGAAAGACGATGAAACTCATGAAAGGCCTACAACAACGAGCTTCAGAAGTGACCAAGAGAGCATCCCAATCGTACAAAAATAATCAAAGAACTCAGTCTGAACAAATTGCAAATGATCAAGTAGTTGACAATATGGAGACAGCTGCTCAGTGATTCCGGTGGTACATAGAAAAAGAGGGAAAAAAAACAAAAAAAAAAAAAAAAAAGAATAAGTTTGAAGCCTGTAACATCATATGTATTATAACAAGTTAGACTTTAAGAATGGGTTGTGTATTGAGTTTCTGTTTATAAAGTATATATTTGATTTTGATGACAAGCTATGGTTGTCAAAAAGAAAGTAGATTTTAGCCTCTGTTGTTTAGTTTCCTCATTTTTGCTTCTCATGTTGGTTATATTATAAAGGATTGAGATGTAATTCCCATTTCATATTTCCTACCCACTCCTATAAATCTTGATCTCATATTGACAAGTAATATAATCTAAAGATTATTTATAGCAAAAATGCCTCTCGAATCTGGACTACATTGACCATCTTTACTGCTTTGGCCCTACAGATTTTTTCTGTCAAATTATCACAACACATACTACATGTCATACCCATAATAACATAGGATTTCATCTTCCGGAATTCCAAGTCATCAAAGATGCAAATCATCATTAATGCAACATAGCCTCTTTGGCAACAAGCTGATGCATAAACACAATTATTAACAGCACACAGAATTAAAATAAAAAATCAAGAAATAAACATCAATTCATTCTATATGAAATAATGATACTTAAAAACTACGTCAAAGAGGAAGCATCTTCGTAACTTTAGTACTAAGATCTTAAAAATATCATCTCATGTATAATAAGAAATCCATTTATAGTGAACCAAAATTTTATGAAGAAATGTATAATGAAGTCCAGATGAAGTGCCATCACACGCTTTTAACCAACAGTAAACAACAAAATAAAAAAATAAAACCAGATTATGGAATTGAGATATTAAAGGACTACCGAAATGGATACTCAATTAGGTTTTTATCTCTGTAATAACAATAAGCTTTTTTGTTCTTTCTTTCCTCTCCTGCTTCTCTCAATGTTCTCTTCTCTTCTCTGCCTTAGTATCCCATACCCATTACCTCTCCTCCAGACTATAAATTTGTGCCAATTGAGTGGTTTGCTTCTAGTTTTTCTTCCTGCATTTATATACCTCTCATCCATGAATGGTTTTCCGATTAATTTTGTAGATAAACAAAAGCAAATGCTGGGCAATAAACAATTAATTTATCGAGGGAATTGCTATACATATCTAGTGAAACTTTATTAGAATTACTACTAACTAATATGTTGCTAGCAAGTCAGCTGCCATGCCTGCATTAGTTGCATATATATCTGTCTCATATACACACACAAATAGCTGGACTAATGACAGAGTGAACAAATCTCTTATCTTCATACTGTAGTGAAGGCAATGAGTACGGCAGAACTGAGGGGTAAAGACAGATCATGATTCATGTACAAGTAATTAAAAGTCCCTTTAATTTACAAGTTTCAAGTACAAGTCATAGCTATCTTAATCTTTTCCCATCTCATAGTTTCAATCACCAAATTCTCTATCTTTTCTCATTGGATTCTCCAAGTCGATTTCTTTTCAGGTACTATAAATATTAAAGACAAATCTCATTACCCTCCTACCATAGACAATGAGAGTGTCAAAACTCATCAAGTATCCTCACGCTTTTACATTTTCTTTTTATTTCACTGTTTTGGAGTAACAACAGAGAACGAGGATGTTCCATCACTTATCCAAATACCTAACCAATGACTTAAACAATAATCAGGATTTTAATAAATATCTCATTCAACAGATATCACACATGCACAGATGATATGAAAATTTCTATGTAAAGCAAAATTCAGTGATTCAACAAATAGAGGAAAGTCAAGTATAGCTGATTAAGATGATCTCTAAATACCTCTTTTCTTGTGGTACTGCATAGCCAAGACAGGTGGTTCATTGAAACCGGAAATAACACTGGGCCCACCCATTGCGCCAAACAATCACAAGGCCATGCAGTCTACCAAATTGCCCACATTCCTGGAGTTATGTGTGGCACAGGAACTATTTGCCATCAAACTGACGGAGAAAGACGATGAAACTCGTTAAAAGCCTTTAACTGAGAGCTTCAGAGGGTGATTAATTACATCGTTCCAAGTGCTACATAAATATCCAAGAACTCGGTCAGAACAAAATGCAAATGGTCGAATAGCTGACAACGAAGAGCTGCTCAATGATTCCTGTGGTACATAGACACAGTAGTCAACCAAAAAAGAAAAATTTAGGGGCAGTTTGGTTCGTTTAAGTGCATTACTGGGGTAATGTTCATCTTATTTACTTGATTACCACGTTTGGTTGTCAAGTAATATAAGATCCCAGTAATCTTCAAATCCCAATAGTGGTTACTATTGAATATAAAGGTAATCTGATTACCTCCATTTTCTTAGGTTTTCTGAGATTACATTGAATAATTTAATTTGTTTCCAAATTGGTTGGGTTCACCATTTCATGAAACCATTGCTTTTGAAGGGTCTCGAATCTTCAGAGAAAACTATACCATATTTATTAATTTGATAAATTAATCAATCAACTACCATGTGAACACTAAACAAAAATTAGTGGGTGATTTTGTTAATAAAAGTGCATATTAATTGGTCATTATCAAAGATTCTCGGATCCACATCTTGATTCTTCTTTTCTTTTTATGAATAATTTTTTAACGTGATATTATGAAACCATTCTATCATAATCATACATGTATTAATTAAGGATAACAAGGGGCCAAATTAAATGATTAAGCTTAGCCACTTTAAATTACAGTCGCACATTAATAAAAAAGAATATATAAAGAAAGAAAAAGGGGAAAAAAATAGAGGAGGGAATTGATCTGATAATCTCCACCTACCAAATGGAATAAAATGTTTTGAACTTTTAAGGATACGTAAAATACAAAAAATAGATGCAAAAATTAATTGATTATGATAAAAAGAAGTTCTTGAATTAATTAATAAACAAATATATAACTAAGCACTTTTGAAAAGCCACTTTCTTTATTCAATTCTTTTGTGTGAAGGAACCTACTGTAACATCTACATTAGCTGTGGTGGAAATTAATACTAATTAAGCCTTTTCGGTCAAAGATTTCTTTGCTGAATTATAATATGAAATATATTTGTATCACCTAATTACAATTATTAATTACTCCATTATGGATATTTGCCTTCCTTAAAGCAGTCAATTTTAAAATCTACTTATATTATGCACTATTTAATTAGTGTTGTGTGGTAAACTATGTTCCGAAAACCGGACCGGACTATGACCCCTTCAAGGGTCCGATTTCCGGTTTGACTGGTTGGATCGGTCGGTTGGACTGTATTCTGTAAAATTATTGTTAATCCCTGAAGGTTTGAAATTCATCAAAAACACCCCTATAATACTCCCTTAAGGTTTGAAATCTATCTAAAACACCCCTGTCGTGCGAAGAAACTGGTGAGTGGTGGCAGCTGCGACGATCGACGGCCAATTGAAGTTGGAATCATGGGGCTTTTGATGCATAGGTTCTGGCGAATCTGATGGTGGTGCTAGGGAGTTCATTGGCGCTGGAACTCGCTGGAATCAACAAAAGTAGCCCGACGGTCGCGTGAAATTTAGACGGCGAGCGACGAAGGCTGGACAACGGTGACTGGAAATGGTTGGGTTTTTTCGTGGAGAAGTCGTCACTTCGAATGGTGGTGTTTTCACTGTCGAACAATGCCGGAATCCGACGGGATTGAGCGGTGATTGGACTGCGACTCGACAGTATTCCGGCGGTCCAACCGCGGCTCAATCCAATTTAACTGAAAATTGCGGTTTTCATGAGATACCAGACCAGAAATACCGTCGGTTCCTGGTTGAACTGGTCTGACCGGACGGTCCGGTGCAATTCTTAGAACATTGGTGGTAAATCCATCATGCATGGATTCACGCCATATGTCCCAACGATGCACTGTCACCAGGTTGCATGTCACTTCATTAGATGACTAATTCACTTGTAAGTTTACCAAATGTTACTTCACTGGTAAGCATCAACTTGTGTCAGACCATGTGTCACCTCATGAAATAACCAAGCATCAACTTGTGTCGACCATGTGTCACCTCATGAAATGGTTATTTCATGCACAAGACCACCCTAGGCTATGTGTCATCTTCATAAGGGTTATTTCACCGGTAAGTCCACCGAGACAAAAATATATAAAGGGGTTTCTCACCCTAGTAAAAGGATCTTTTATAAACACTATTTTCTAGCTAAAAAAACTGCCTCATCTTTTCTTAGAATTGAAGTCGCTTGTACTTGCAAAATATACAAAAATAAAATAAAATAAAATAATAGTGGACGTAAGATATGCATCTTGCATCCGAACCACTTTAAAAAAATTTGTTCTTTGTATTTATTCCTCATTTTAATATTAGTCAAACACTAGAATACTGGTTTATTAAAAACCCTTGCATAGATTTTCTCACGAGATTTACGTACTTCTCATTAGTGCAAAAAATTGCATCAACAATTAGATTAATAGTGTACAGTATTAATCATTTGCTAATTGTATATGTGTAAATATTTTATTATTATGCATTCCATTTAAAACATTTCTATGAAAAAACATTTTTAAAATGTATCCAACAACGATACACAGAAAGAGATGTATACATGGATTCATATTCAGAGATACAGCAAATTAAATTAAGTAGAAGCAATCACTTTACCAGCCAATGTAAATTCTGGGTAAGAGAGGATAATAAAAAGGCAAGCAAAGCTGCTGCTAAAACCTTATCAAATGTGAAATAATAAACCTTTCTGATGTTTGCACTTCCAAGGAAATTCTCCATTTATATAATTAAAGGACCTTCTTTCTTACTCACAATCACTTATCCACACACATTTTTAGGCCTGCTAGTTAACATTTAATAGAATGTTATATCCAGTGTCAAATTCATCATCTATAATGACCAAAAAATTTACCCAATTCCAAGATTTTTTTTGTAAAAATATATTATAGGGAGATGGGAGTCATCCCAATTGGATATTTACTAATAAAAGGATCTTGTAATAAGCAACATTTTTATTTTTTCAATCCCTCATTTCTAGTTTTTTATAAGTAATAAACTGAGAATCTTGATCCAGATACCAAATACTACATACTATATATATTTCTTATACATTTTGTTGTTCAAGAAATTAATTAAGAAATTGCATAATTGCACCTCTCTCTCTCTTTTTTGGTGATCAGGGATGTCTGTGTTAGCTTGCACACGTACACCGCAACTAATCTATTAGGGCCCTGAAGTTAATGACTAGATAAATCTCTCAGTGATCACCTCTATTAAGGCTTGTGGGGACTCAAACTCAGATGTCATAAAACATATTTTTACTCTTTTACCATCAAAGTCATTTAGTATGATTACCCTCTCTCTCTCTCTCTCTCTCACACACACACACACAAACATGCACAAAGTCTGAGTGGACTTAATCTTCAGTTAATGATAATGGAGTGAAAGAAGGCAATGAAATGTGTATATTAAAGAGAACTGAGATTTGAGAAAGACAAAGACAGATGGATGATGATGAATCATGTTTCATTTAACTAAAATGTTTCTTTAAATTTACGAGTTTCAAATAATACAAGTAGTACTCTTAAGTCTTCCTGCAATGTCCCACCCACACCCTCTACTTCTAAAGTAGCTACCTAAATCTTTTGAGTAATACTAGCCTTATTCCCCTTTCTTATTTCTTTCTCTTACTCACTTATGTGGTAGGTGCGTGTAAGAAGAGAGAGAAGGGAGTAAGGAGAGAGATTAATATGAGTGAGAAAGAGAAAAGAGTAAGAAGGGAAAGTATGACTAGCATTATTCAAATCTTTTTCTCCTCTCACAATTTCAACCACTAACTTCTTTTTCTTTTTCTCTTTGAGCTCTTGGGATTCTCTCTAAGTCAACCTCTTTGCTTCTACTATAAATAGCAAACACAAATCTTACACTTCTCTTACAACATACAGACAAAAGAGAGTACCAAACCAAACCCTTATCATAATTAAACTGCTCCTTCTCTCTCTTTCTCTTTTAATTTGGTGCAATGGAGAGTGAGGATGTTGCCTCAATTCCTTCAACACCAGCTACACCTGGCACTCCTGGTGCTCCTCTCTTTGGTGGGCTCAAAGGAGAGAGAGGTGGCCTTGGAATTGGAAGGAAATCACTTCTTAGAAGTCCATGCAAGTGTTTTAGTGTTGAAGAATGGACCATGGAAGAAGGGAGACTCCCTTCAGTCTCTTGCTCAATCTCGTTACCTGCTCCCCCTCCTGTCTCTCTTGCAAGAAAGGTATAATATAAAGCATCGAATTGAGTCTTAAATGAAACAGATATATCGAGAATTTTATCTCATTATTATGATATCAGTCTTTTAGCTCAACATTTTGGTGTATTAATTTCAGGTAGGAGCAGAATTCATAGGCACATTTATACTCATGTTTGCTGGGACTGCCACAGCCATTGTGAACCAAAAAACACAAGGGGTGGAAACCCTACTCGGCTGCGCCGGCTCCACCGGTCTCGCCGTCATGGTCATCATATTATCCATCGGCCACATTTCCGGAGCCCATCTCAACCCCGGTGTCACCGTGGCCTTCGCTGCCTTAAAACACTTCCCATGGAAAAACGTAAGCACATATATAAATTATATTACTTCAGGTTTCATATATAAAAATGTCCGAAGACCTAAATTAGTTTTAATTCGTTGTCAATGATTGCAGGTACCGGTGTATATCGGAGCACAAGTAGCGGCATCAGTATGTGCATCATTTGCACTGAAAGGGATATTTCATCCCTTCATGGGAGGGGGAGTGACAGTGCCTGCAGAAGGATTTGCTTACGGGAAAGCTTTTGCTTTGGAGTTTATTATCAGCTTCAATCTCATGTTTGTCGTCACCGCTGTGGCCACCGACACTCGAGCTGTAAGTGCATGCATGTCTTTCAATTTATTAATATTCTAACCCTCTTCTTTCTTTCATTCTTTCTTTAATGGCTTTCAAAATCACTTCCCAATCTAGACAATCCTTCCCTGGATAATGCAAGAGACACGAGTCTCTCTCTCTATATATAATTTTTTATATGCAAAACTTAAGAGACAAGATCCAAGAAAAGAAAATTGGCATCCCTGCAAGTTTCCTTTTCCAATGATATTAATAATATGTGGTACATATTTAATTGATCCCAGTGACATTAATTTATCTGAGATGCAACTTGTCAACATCTCCCTAGAACCAAATTTTTTACTGAATTTTGCCTCACCAAACTTTCAAAAATACCTTTTTTACTCTCTCAATAGCCCTCTGACCCTCAAATTAATTGAAATTGTTTGACCCTCAAGTTTTTATGACTGGGTTTAGCTAGTAAAATCTCTTATAATTTAGTTGTTAATTAGATGAGATAATGATTTTGATGAAATTAAGAATAATGTGAACAGAATCTTCTAATGTGAAGATGTCTCTGAAACTGTGAGAATGCAGGTGGGGGAGCTGGCAGGAATCGCGGTGGGAGCTACTGTGACTGTTAACATACTCATAGCCGGGTATGTCAATTCACACTTCAGTTTAAGAAACTTTTGTTATTGAGAATTTTACTACTTCTATCAAAACCTTTTCAAACAATGAAAAACGTTTCTCTTGATTATAAAATTGTTTTTAAATAAAGTATTAAGCAAGTGTTTTCTGTGGAAAGTCATTTAAGTACTTTTTTACGTCAAAAAGGCTTCTGACACCGCCATTGACTTAAAGACTTCTTTCGGGACCATTATTTAGATCCAATGAATGAAAACGGTGAAAATTAATGCAATAGTTTATCCAAACTCACGCGGCAAACATACTGTAACTGATGGGGATGTTTGATCCTTACAAAAGCTAGAACAGACAACAAAGTTTGACAAAATAATGGGCAAAAATCATCTGAGAATATAAAAGCACACTTTCAATGCAAAAGGACCAAGATATGGGATATATGTTAGAGATGAATTGACAATCCTTCAATAAATCATCTGATTTAATGGATATCATATCACACACCCACAGCAGAAATTTTCAGCTTCTGTATACATCAAAATTCAATGATTCAACAAGTCGAGTGAAAATTATTACTATGATCTTTTGAAAACTCTTTTCTTCTGTTATGTTGCAGACCTTCGACTGGCGGTTCAATGAATCCGGTAAGAACACTGGGTCCAGCCATTGCGGCAAACAATTACAAGGCCATATGGGTCTACTTAACAGCTCCCATCCTTGGAGCGCTGTGTGGTGCAGGAAGCTATTCTGCAGTTAAACTGCCAGAGAAAGACGATGAAACTCATGAAAGGCCTACAACAACGAGCTTCAGAAGGTGACAAGAACAGCGTCCCAAGTCGTACAAAAATAATCAAAGAACTCAGTCTGAACAAATTGCAAGTGATATAGTAGTTGACAATGGAGACAACCGCTCAATGATTCCGGTGGTACATAGAAAAATAGGGAAAAACACAAAGAAAAGAATAAGTTTGAAGCCTGCATCAATCATATGTATTATAGTCAAGTTAGAGACTTTAAGAATGGGTCGAGTATTGAGTTTCTGTTTATAAAGTATATATTTGATTTTGATGACAAGTTATGGTTGTCAAAAAAAAAAAAATTTGGGATTTTTAGCCTTTGTTGTTTAGTTTCCTCATTTTTGCTTCCCATGTTGGTTATGGGTAAAGGATTGAGATGTAATATCCCATTTCATATTTCCTACCCAACTCCTATAAATCTTGATCTCATATTGACAAGTAATATAATCTAAAGATTATTTATAGCAACAAATGCCTCTCGAATCTAGACTACATTGACCATCTTTAACTGCTTTGGCCCTACAGAATTTTTCTGTTCAAATTATCACAACACATACTTACATGTCATACCCATAATAACATAGGATTTCATCTTCCGGTATTCCAAGTCATTAAAGATGCACATCATTGTTAATGCAACATAGCCTCTTTGGCAAAGAGCCGATGCATAAACACAATTATTAACAGCACTCAAGAATTAAAATAAAAAATCAAAGAAATAAACATCATTTCATTCTATGTGAAATCATGATACTTAAAAACTATGTCAAAGAAGGAAGCATCTTCGTAACTTTAAGTACTAAGATTAATTAGAAAATATCATCTCATGTATCATAAGAAATCCAATTTATAGTGAACCAAAATTTTATGGAAGAAATGTATAATGAAGTCCAGATGAAGTGCAGCTTTTAACCAATCACTATAAACAACAAAAATTAAAAAATAAAACCAGATAATGGAATTGAGATATTAAAGGACTACCTGAAATGGATACTTCAATTAGGTTTTTATCATCTGTAATAACAATAAGCTTTTTTGTTCTTTCTTTCCTCTCCTGCTTCTCTCAATGTTCTCTTCTCTTCTCTGCCTTAGTATCCCATACCCATTACCTCTTCCTCCAGACTCATTAAATTTGTGCCATTATTGAGTGGTTTGCTTCTAGTTTTTCCTTCCTGCATTTATATACCTCTCATCCATGAATGGTTTTCCGATTAATTTTGTAGATAAACAAAAGCAAAATGCTGGGCAATAAACAATTAATTTATCGAGGGAGATTGCTATACATATCTAGTGAAACTTTATTAGAATTACTACTAACTAATATGTTGCTAGCAAGTCAGCTGCCATGCCTGCATTAGTTGCATATATAGCTCTGTCTCATATACACACACAAATAGCTAGGACTAATGTGACAGAGTGAACAAATCTCTTATCTTCATACTTTAGTGAAGGCAATGAGTACGGCAGAACTGAGGGGTAAAGACAGATTATGATTCATGTACAAGTAATTAAAAAGTCTCTTTAATTTACAAGTTTCAAGTACAAGTCTATAGCTATCTTAATCTTTTCCCATCTCATAGTTTCAATCACCAATTTCTCTATCTTTTTTCTCATTGGATTCTCCAAGTCGATTTCTTTTCTGGTACTATAAATATTAAAGACAAAATCTCATTACCCTCCTACCATAGAGACAATGAGAGTGTCAAAACTCATCAAGTATCCTCACGCTTTTACATTTTCTTTTTATTTCACTGTTTTGGAGTAACAACAGAGAACGAGGATGTTCCATCATTTATCCAAATACCTAACCAATGACTTAAACAAATAATCAGGATTTTAATCAATAATCTCAGTCAACAGATATCACACATGCACAGATGATATGAAAATTTCTATGTAAAGCAAAATTCAGTGATTCAACAAATAGAGGAAAAGTCAAGTATAGCTGAAGGTTAAAATGATCTCTAAATACCTCTTTTCTTGTGGTACTGCATAGCCAGGGACAGGTGGTTCATTGAAACCGGAAATAACACTGGGCCCACCCATTGCTCCAAACAATCACAAGGCCACGCAGGTCTACAAAATTGCCCACATTCCTGGAGTTATGTGTGGCACAGGAAACTATTTTGCCATCAAACTGACGGAGAAAGACGATGAAACTCGTTAAAAGCCTTTAACTGAGAGCTTCAGAGGGTGATTAATTAACATCGTTCCAAGTGCTACATAAATAATCCAAGAACTCGGTCAGAACAAAATGCAAATGGTCGAATAGCTGACAAGACGAAGAGAACTGCTCAATGATTCCTGTGGTACATAGACACAGTAGTCAACCAAAAAAGAAACATTTAGGGGCAGTTTGGTTCGGGGTTAAGTGGCATTACTGGGGTAATGTCATCTTATATTACTTGATTACCACGTTTGGTTGTCAAGTAATATAAGATACCAGTAATCTTCAAATACCAATAGTGGTTACTATTGGTAATATAGAGCGTATCTGATACCTCCATTTTCTTAGGTTTTCTGAGATTACCAGGGTTATCTTTTTTTGTTACAATTTTATCCTTATTAATAAAATTTTGGACAATAATATCCTATTTTAAAACAAATTTACATTAATATCCTATTTCAATTTTACCTTGTTTAATTAAAATTTGTACAATAATGCCCTAATTTAAAATAATTTACAGACCACCACTGCCACACCACCACAGCCACCAGCCACCAGTCGACAGCAGGTCAACCACCACGGACCACCGCGGAAAATTGCCGGAGTCCCCAAAAACACTGGAAATTCTGTGAGAGGCTCCGGGAGGCTTCGATATGGCGTTTTTGGCCATATTGATGGCGAAAACGGCCATATCGGGCCAGCTTGGCCGTTAACGGCCAGATCCTCGATTGGCTGGAAATGGTCAGAATAGATCTGGCCATTTCTGGCTAGACTGGCCCGATATGGCCGTTTTCGGCCATCAATATGGCAAAAACGGCCATATCGAAGCCTCCCGGAGCCTCTCATAGAATTTCCAGTGTTTTTAGGGCTCCGGCGATTTTCCAACGGTTGTTCGCGGTGGCGGCAGGCGGCGGCAGGAGGTGGGGGTGATTCGTCATGAATTAAAGTTTTTTATAAGCGGGGGTGTTTTAGCTAAATCTGAAATATTGGGGGTTAAAAAAATTATTCAAAAATTAATAATAAAATAATATTATATTAATATTTAAAAGAGGGTCAATTTAGTAATTTAAATAACATACCCACCAATTTTCCCATAACCAAATATATTAATATAACATACCCACCAACTAACAAAACTATTTTCTTAAAGATTCCCAGTAATCTTCCAAGGTAATTATCTTTCAGTAATTCAATATTCCCAGTAATCTAACATTCCTGGACCAAACGCCCCCCTAAGAATAAATTGAATGCCTGTGTATCAAATACATATTGATAGTCAAGCTAGAGACTTGAAGACTAAGTTATGAGGATTACGTTTGTGTTTATAAAATAAGTAATGGAGTTGGATGGAGAGTTATGGTTGTCTTCACCACAAAAACAAAAAAAAAAAAAATTTTCTTGATTTTTTTTTTTTTTTTTTTTTGGGGGGGGGGGGGGGGGGGGGGGGGGGTGTGGTGGTGGTTATTGCTTCTCATGTTGATTAGGTGCGTAGAGAAGAAGCAAGATTATTCTCTATTTCATATTCCCACCATTCTCATGTTGATTAGGTGCGTAGAGAAGAAGCAAGATCTATTCTCCTATTTCATATTCCCACCCACACTAACAAATTTTATCTCAGATTCGGAAACAGAAAAGGAGACAAAAAAAGATAACAGGACGAAATAAATTCTAAAGTTAAGCAAGGGGAGAAGATTCTGAGTTGAAGCCTCCTCTTCCAGAACATGAAACAAGATATGCTATCAATCTTGATAGTGTATGTTCAGTTGCCCAAAATTTCACAATAAATTTACAAATCGATAAAGTACAGCTTTGAATATAGGCAAGCTCTACACACAAACAGTAAGCATGACAGCAAGCTATATTGTATTGCATTTTGGACAAGCAATTGAGTAACAAATCTAAGCCATTCATGCTTCAGAGCAGGTTTGACCTTTAAGATCAACAATAAGGTTTAAATATACTGAGAACTACTAACATAAATAAGAACAATATCAACAGATTACGTAAGGCTGATAAGATGTCTTCAGTATTTCTTAGAAGCATGCATTTTGTTACTTCGACAACATTTTCATATATGTAAGACATGTTTTAGGAATACTGGAAAAGTTCTAATCATTATATATTCATTTCATATTTCTTGTATCTTTTCACATAATACAACTAAAATAAACACCTCTAGCCCTTTTCATCCTTGTGCCTTAATTCAAAAATACACCTTTTAGCCAAACTCAGAACTAGCCATTGAGCTCACCTAACAATACAATGGAGTTCATGTAACATACCAGTACGATAACTTGGAATTACACACAAAGAACTAAAGACTTTTACTAAACAATAATGCAAATTAAAATATAAAACAATGTAATAAATAGGTTACAAAAATGATGATATAAAGCCAATTTACTTTTCAAAGATGAAAAAAAAAAAAAAAAATAGGGCAAAAATACTGACCTAAACTAAGCTCTGTATCTTCTTCAACTAAATGGATTTTTTCTTTGTTTCTCTGAGTTCCGAATTATGGCTAAAATACAAAATTTCCCACATTTTATCATCGACCAAACAAAGCAAAAAGTGACCCCTCTCATCAATTTGGTGGAAAAAAGTTACTCTAACTCATTCCATTCAACTCTTAATCCCAACAAAAATTGAGGATTCTAAAACTAGCAGCTTTTCTCCATTTTCTACTGTTTTCCCTCAGTTTCTCACCAACAAAACAGACCTTTTCGTCCCTCATCGCAAACCAATCCGACCCCTACAAGGAAAAATAGAAAAAAGTACGACCCCACGAAACTTTCAAGCCAAAACACCACTCAAACAGGCAAAACCCTTCGGGTCTGACTCTTTTCAAAACCGGGTCGACCCGAAAACTTCCTCAGTAAGGAAAGAGCGAACGAGGCGATCAAGACGCCGATAACATCGGCGACAGCATCCTTGAACGAAGCGCCCGCTGAGGGGAAGAGGCCGAGGTGGTCAGCAGCCTCCTTAGCGGCACCGGCCAAAAGGGACAGAATGGATCCGACCCGGATTGAATGGGTCCGGAGGAATGAGTAACGGGTACAGGATGCTAAGGCAGAGAAAATAAGGGTGAGAGAGAAGCAGAAGAGGACGTGGTAGAGCTTGTCTGGAGCTAGCCATGGATCTTGGTCTGCATTTCCACTGTCCATGGCGGCATTTAAGAGAAAAGAGTTTTGTTTGGAGTCAAATGAGAGTTTATATAAGTAATAGGACCTGAATAATTTTCACTTATTTCACAAGCAATTATTGAGCCAAAATTTTTTAGAACCCCTTATAGTCTTAACTCACTATCTATACCCTACTTGTTGTTTAGTTATTGTTTTACATCATTTTGGCATTGGCTACTATACAAATATGTATAGTTGCTTCGCACTGTGCTAAAGAGAAAATGACCGTTGGATTTATCATGCGACCAATTACTGTCAAACGGGTAAACCGGTTTAGGCGTGTTCTTCCCTGGCTTCCAATTAGAGATGCCAACGGGGCGGGGCAAGGTCGGAATTCCCATTCCCCGTCCGTTAACTCATTCCTCATCCCCACCCCAGACTAGGCAGGGATTTTTCCCAGCAATTCGACCCTTCACAGCAGTTCGAGTAAGTTTAATATTATTTTAAATGGGGTCAAAATTGTAAATTTAAACATAAGGACTTTTTTCTTTTTTTGTTAAAAGTTGAGTAGGTTCAATTGAACCTACACTTTTGTATGTGGTTACGTGCCTGCATGCGTGGTCATTGGTTCTGGGACGAAGGTTGAGGATACTACACACCAGCAACCTCGAGTATCCCTGAACCCTAGGGTTTATCAAAGATGAAGCCATGGGAAAAGAATAGTTTTCTTAGCTTTGGGCTTGGGGCTTGATCTCTAATGAGCAAAAAATTAAACTAGGCCATATATAGCCAACGCCGACTCACTCTTGTCTCAGTGTCGTTCTTACCTCTACAAGAACATAATCACCATGTTGAGATACGAAATGGCACTAAAAGCCATCTATTGTACGTGTGCACTCTAATGTCGCTCCATGAAGGCGAGTGTCTTGTGTTAAACGACTAGTAAGTGGGAAACCATTCTAACCTCGTGTAGACTACATTGCCCTCGGGCTTGAAATGTCGATTCGATGGTAATGATTCATTCACATCCTCGAACCTAGGGCTTTGTCACTAAGATGAAGTAGTGCAAAAAGAATGATTATCTTAGCTTTGGGCTTGATTTCTAATGTATATATAGACTAGACCACCTAATGGACATCATATTAACCAAATCGTGATTCCTCGTGCAATAGATGTTTACTTTGGGGAATAAGAGCAATTTCCCAAGCTTGTAAGCATACACTTGCACTAAGACAAAGACATGGCAACAAACATTGCAGTGTACACGAATGCAAGTGTCACTATGTACCGCATACACACTCATTGATCATGTACGAGGAGCATACTCGCTTCGCAACATGACATCGGTTCAAGACTTCTCGAAAGAGTTCAACCAATTTAGCTCGCGAGTATAACATTGAGGGTTAACACAAGGGCAATTAAGTTCATTTGGGGTTTTTTTTTTTTTTTTTTTTTTTCATTCGAAATCTCCAACACTCTCAAACCCATATGTTAGGTCATGTTTGTTGATGAATGTAGTTGTTGGCTTTAACTCCTCACCTCCTGGTCAAACACTCAGCTCAACTGAACCTGTCTCTGATACCATAATAGAATTTGAGGTGAGTCTCACTCCTCACCCAATAAGGTCTTGTTGAATAAAAAGATTACTTCCTCTTATAAACCTGTAAGCTTTGAGTATGTCTAATCAGTGTGAGACTCCAACAGAAACGTTGATACAAACCCGACCATGAGCCCAAGACACCTTCCATCCCTTAAGAGAATAAGAGCATGTCTTCGTGCACACGCACCGACCTCGCTTCATGAAGCAAATAAGACAAATTAACACGATCAGACCGGGTAATTGTACACTCATATTCGTGTAGAATACAAATCAGACAGCCTTTGTTTTGCCTTAGTGCAAGTGTACCCTTAGGGCTTCGAGGAGAACTCATAAGCCACACAACACGCTTGCAGCTATCCATCTCAACATATGAATCTTCATTTGGCTGACTTGGCCCGAACGATTGGCTCATATCCTCAATACAATGATTCCACCTTTGCTTTGGGGTATGAATCCTGCCGCCTCTCTTTGCCTGTGGTAACTTACCCGAAGTTGTACAATGTAGTTCAACTTTCTTGCCTTTTAACTCATTCTTTAGGTTCGGTTTGGGGAGAAGCTTTTGATTGCAATTGGGAGGGGAGGGAAGATCCAGTAGCTGTGTAAATCCATAATGCATAATTAGACAAGGGCTGGTGCATTAAAAAAAGTGAAGGTTTACAATAGATTGTCCCTTCAAAAAATATAAAATAAAAGTAAAAGTTGTAACCGTAAACTGAAATTGTAAAATAATTAAAAGAAATGTTAGTATAAACTAGTAAAGATATCATGAAATATATAAATCCCGCAAATAACGTAAACGTTGTAACCTAATATATGAAACTTATATTAATAAACAAAAGAAAATAAAAGTAAATTTTACATAACAATTATAATGAAAACTGACAAAACACAAAATTTATCGTGAAATATTAACTGCGAGTGCAACATAAAATTTGTAATCTAGAATGTGAAACTTGTAAACTTTTAAAAATTATGGTAAAGTTGTAAGTGAAACATGAAAACCGGATTGTGAAATATTTTGCAACAAGCTTTATGGAGAGATTTGATGTTTTAGTTGTAAAATTTTCAGCACAATATATTTGTTATAATAGTATTGGGACAGTCATTTTCCAATTGCAAGCTATTCCTGGTAAATTACTGCTGGGGTGTATTAAGTGTATCCCACAAGGCATGCAATAGATGCACCACCAATGATTGAATGTGAAGCAACCATGCTACGCTCTATAGAAATTATTGTTTACTTGCTTTTACTATTTAAATTGAGTTAATGACATTACTCTTTTTAAACCACTATGGGGTTGTCTGATGATAAAAGAATAAAGGGGTCCATTATGAGTTTCTGAGTTTAAGTTTTTCCAAACCCTAATAAGGGTGGCCATTGAGGGAATTTACCTTGTATTTTACTTCAAGGTCCTAACTGATTAGTTGAAGTACGGACAAACTAACTCGAACACCCTCAATCACCAAAAAAAAAAAAAAAAAAAAAAAAAAACCGAAAGACATTAATCCTTTTAGGTATAGGTATGATGTAATAATAAAAATTCTTCTAAGGTTTTCAAAATAATAGAAATCCTCTTGCTGTTTATGAATGGATAATAAACCATTAAAATTTACTCTATTATAAATTAGTAAATATTATCAAATTGCTTTTCTACTATTTATTTTTAACACCTAAAACTTAACCTTAAGAGGATTTATGTTATTTCCTAAACCTGATTAATGTCATTAACTCGTTTAAATTTAAAAATATCTTTTAATGCTTTCATTTTCAATTGTAATAAGAAATTAAACCTTGGATATTTGTGATTCAAAAATAATTTTTAAAATCTAAATACAATTCAAAATTTTGAGTTATATCTTGATATTTGAAATTGCCTGAAAACATGTTTGATATAATATTTAAAAATTTACTATATTAATCTGAATGTTGTTATACACAGTATCCAATATTATTTATCCAATGTTGATGTATCATTCTAAAATATAAATGCTGAAAATTTTTAAGTAGTATTAATAACTAAATAAATAGTTGTTATTTACAAGCTAGATTGGAAGTGTATGGTCTTTCTGTAATCCGAAAAGACAAATAAAATCTTGTTCAGCCAAGGAAACAGTATCCAAGTTTAAGTAGTCTAATAAAATTCGAAATCATAATGCGGAAATCCAAGATTTCTTCACTCTTTTTACTTTTTACAAACGAAATCCAAATCTTCCGTACTGTATTCTCTCGATCTCGTTGCAAAAAATCAATCAAGGGACTTTCATGGCACTCGTAATTCAGAACTATTTCAATTTATTGAGTGATGAAGATGGCGACAACGTTGTTCCAGACGTCTCTTCCAGAAAGGCTCCAACTCCATTGGCTGCAGGTGCCAAGAAGAAGAACAAGAACAAGCAACAACCTACAAAGAAGAAAGTGATGACGACTGTTGCTGCTAATGGAGGCTTCGTGAAGACTGAGATTGAGATTGAGACTGAAACTGAGACCACTCTCAGCTTTCAGGATGCTGTTCAGTTCCCCGCCCTCAAGTGAGATGCAGAGAATGCACAAAACTTTATACCAGTCGATAGAGTCTTTATAGATTGTTAAAAGTAATTTGAAAATTTGTTTGTACTAATTTGACAATTTGTTTAAGAAATTTTAAAAATAAAATTTTGACTGTTCACAAGAAAATTGTATAAATAATCCTATAAAACAAGGGGAAAACTTTCGTACAATTAATACATAAATAACCAATTATAATCTTAAGTATTTATGGTTCGTTTGGTACAACTTTTTTAATGTGAAAGATTATAAAAAATTTGTTAGCTGTTTGGTTAGTAAAAAAAAAAAAAAAAAAAAAAATCTTATATTAATTTATCAAAAATGGATTTAATATACAATTCCATCATAAGTGGTAAAATAGTTGATTGAAAATCTTATAAACATTTCTCAAATTCACTCAAATAACCTAAAAAGTTTTAAAAGTATTTATAATTTTAAATTAGCTCTTTCGGCTAATAAATAAATCTAATCAAAACCACCATTGGGTGCTTTGGTGGTAAAATAGTAAAAAGAGATTTTATAAACTCCTAAGTTTGAGTCGCTTCAAGCATTAATAGGGGTGGTCACTTGGACTCTTACTCTAGTGACAGTTCCAGCTTTTTTGCAAAACCAACCCTCACAAGGTAGATTTCAATTCTAAAAATCAGGAACCGATCGGTTCTGGTTTTAGTTTTAGTTCCTATAATACTCGGGGTAGGAACCAGTTTGAAACCGAGATTGAAACGATATATAATTAGACAATGAGGAATCATTTGTAGTCTTTGTGTTGTGATTTGTAGTCTTCATGTTGGGTTTTATTAACAATTTCTCTAGAATGGAGAGGGAATGAAAACGAAAATGAAGAAGAATTGAGGAAGGATTGTTGTATCGATTCTTGAGCAAACGGTCAAACGGTACGTCTGAGTGACCATTGAGGATGTCGAAGTATTTGAGTTATTCGTATAAGAGCAGAAGTGGCATCAAGAGGAGATGTTGTACTATGCTTTGTATTTACATATGATAGTAAAATGGTTAGTAAGAT